TCAGGGTAGCCTCAAATCCCATTACGGTCTGGGAGCCTCCTCAGGGTAGCCTCAAATCCCATTACGGTCTGGGAGCCTCCTCAGGGTAGCCTCAAATCCCATTACGGTCTGGGAGCCTCCTCAGGGTAGCCTCAAATCCCATTACGGTCTGGGAGCCTCCTCAGGGTAGCCTCAAATCCCATTACGGTCTGGGAGCCTCCTCAGGGTAGCCTCAAATCCCATTACGGTCTGGGAGCCTCCTCAGGGTAGCCTCAAATCCCATTACGGTCTGGGAGCCTCCTCAGGGTAGCCTCAAATCCCATTACGGTCTGGGAGCCTCCTCAGGGTAGCCTCAAATCCCATTACGGTCTGGGAGCCTCCTCAGGGTAGCCTCAAATCCCATTACGGTCTGGGAGCCTCCTCAGGGTAGCCTCAAATCCCATTACGGTCTGGGAGCCTCCTCAGGGTAGCCTCAAATCCCACCATGGTCTGGGAGCCTCTGCAGTGGAGTCTTTTGTGCACTAGTAATAGGCAGTTGGAATGGAATGTTGTCCTGGATTTGTACATCTTGGACTAAACATCAAGCACAATAGAGAGACAGTGTATGGCTGTGGTTCTATGTGGTCGTAGTGGGATATTCAAAGGAGAATGTTTAAGCCCCGACAACGGTTCCATGTGAATGGAGGTTGGTCATAGGTCAGTTGGTCCTAAGAGATCTTCTAGTCACACTGTTCTCCAGCCCCCACATTCTTCCCCAGCCCCCGCATTCTTCCCCAGCCCCCGCATTCTTCCCCAGCCCCCGCATTCCTTGGGTGGCTGTGATGTCTGATCTCAGCAGTGTGATACTAGAGACGGCCATACACCAGTAACTTTTCATTTGAAATACAATTGTTTTCAGAACGTGGGTTCCATGTTCTAATGGTAAAAGTAGAATTAAATTTAGGGCTGCAACAACTAATCGACATAATCGATTATTGAAAAAGTTGTCAACTTTTACAATAATCGATTAATCGGACACTTGTTTTTACATATATCTTCTGCAACAAGCAGTAGATATATGCAAAAACATTTAAAAAAATAATAATAAAAGTTACCAAATAGGTAATCACTTACCTGTGTCTCCGCCGCTCGCTCCCATCTGGAGATTCTTGAGCGGCCATGAAGGATGATGGGGCATGCGCAGTAGTGATCTTTGGCTGGGAGAAGAGGAGAGACACACAGGGTAAGTCAATGCTCGCAGCCGGAAGCGTGCACACGCACAAACACTGTGGGACACAGAAGGCTCGGCAGTCAGCGCTGGATCAGAGACCAGCACAAGCGCTGGAGGGACTCCTGAAAACAAGTGGAAGAAGATGATGATCGGATCAAGAGGAATCATTTAAGGTAAGTCCAGAATTGGGGGGGATGGGGGTCTAACCGATTATCGTTTTTGTCCGTGATGGTGAACAAATTTAACGACGCAGGATGGAAAAACATTTCTTGAGTGAATGAAATTCTAGTAGTGAATGTGGTTTTGTTCAGGAAACTCCACTTAGTCCAAAATCAAATGATACAATCAAAGGAAATGGAGACCTATCACAAAGTCTCTGATGGCATTATCGAATGTTCTGACGAGATTGTCCTTCTGAACATTGTATGGCCAGCTTAAGGCTAGCAGTTTGTGCAAAATAGGAGAGATGGGGGGCACAAGACATCTGCTCTAGGGGGTGTAGGAGGTTTAAAGCCCATCTCCAGGCAAAAATAACCCTCCTTACCCATTAAGACCTTTTTTTCCCCCCCTACTTTTTGAAACAAGGATATACTTACTTAAGTCTGCTATACAGGTCTCCATTGGCACCATTTCCAGGGAGCTGGTGATTCAGTGCTGCAAATTCCCATGCTGATTGGTCTCTGCTGATGCCCTTTTTGCTGATATCACTATTAAAAATCCTTTTCTGGTTCCTGAAGGGACACCACCACTGGACAGCCAATAGGAAGTGTCTACGTCATGCAGACAGTGATGTGAGCACCTGAAGGATCCCATCTGTGCAAAGAAGACTCGGGACCACAACGTCATGTGACTGCAGATACTTAGACTGTAAAAAGGACATTTAGGAATTGGAAAATATCTTTTTAAATTTAAAAGTGAAATTAGCTTAAAAACCTTTTGACTTTGTTTTAAATGCTGATACAATCACTTACAATGGACGCTGCATCTTGATGTGTAAAAGGTGTTACTTTCCTGCAGAATCAGGTGGACTCCTGAGCACTGGTCTTGATCTCCTGATTTAGGGCCTTTTCACATGAGTTTCAGGTCCGGATCAGCAGACGCTGGGCTATGTGTTTTGCCGCGTTTTTGATGCGTTCCAGTAAAAAAACTGGAGTGGGGCTGTCAGTATATTAGCTGCAGTGCGTTTTTGACGCGTTTTTGATGCGTTTTGCTCTTCCGGGCCGTTTCCTGACCGGACTGCGCACGTGAGAACTGTAGCCCTTAAAACACATAGGGATACATAGGGATGCATTTTTAGTGCAGGAGCGTACGTATCAGGTCAGCACAGAAAACGGACGTCGTGTGAACAGGCCTTTAGGGTGGCTCCTTTCCCTTGCAGGGTCCTATGGAGTCACCCTTGTGCTAGTAAGGTGTGTGTGCCTCCACCAACACACAGACACAGCAAGGCAAGACATTTCTCTACTCTCTGCTCCCCTCCCCGCCCTCTTCCCTTCTCCAAGCTAGTATGATGGAGCTGCTGTAGATTGCTCTGTCCCTTGTGATCTTGTACTGGACAGGGTGTTCAGGGAGGCCGAGCTGAGAGAGTTGGAGGTAGCTGTTCAGAAACATGATGACTGTAAGTGTTTGGTCAAAAAAAGTAAAGAAATACCTTGCTGAACAATGTTCGATTGGTCTGGATTCATTATTTACAAAAAAAGTTTGAGTGTAACACTACTTCAATGTCGGCAATTAGAGGGGAGGGGGGCAGAGAGTATCTCTAAATCTGATCCTGCATTTCATGGTGATATTTCTTTGTTTTCCAGCTGACTTTCTCTGTGATTGGATCACTCAATGGAGTGCACATGTTTGCAAATAACCAAGATGTTTTGCTGACTTCTACACGTACAGAGAACAGCAGAGTGCTATGGAGAACCTTCCATGACAGGTGAGTGACAGATGACCGCAACATTGCTTGTATTGTGTCTTGTACTGCATTGCTTTCATGTTACTGGTTATTGTTCTCCTGGGAAAATACACCTTAGGGCTATTTACATACATGCTTTGAAAAGGAGAAGTGCAAGGACTAGAAGAGGATGTGTTGGCCAAAATGGCTTAATACACAAGTGTTGGTTTATTGCTTTGCACTGTGGTTCTTAGGGCTTGTTCACACCAGCAGCTGCTCTCAATTGCACAGCTGCTTTTGTGCCTGTGCCCGGACTGTACAGATGCACTCAATTGCTTTTTTTTATTTATAGAGATGTCAGTGAAGTGGCATTTCATTAAAGGAGAGCTCTGAGGTGAGTGATTTCCACTCATCCTCATAGTTAGAGCCGACCTGTGACGAAGAAGCTGTCACAGGTCGGCTCTATTTATCGGGAAGTGAGCAGAAACATACCACCGATCTGCTCAATTCCCGATAGTCTCCCTGCAGTAAGCGGGGACTGTCACTCTCGGCTCCCCGCAGGGATTCCCCCCTCCCCTCTCTGATCCTCCAGCGCTGAGTGGAGGAACGACCAGGGGAGGGGGGGGGTCGGGCACAGCTGGCTCTGCCACTAGATAGGCAGAGCCCGCTGTCACTCATGCAGCTGGGTGGATCTCGACAGTATTGTCGGGATCCGTCTTGGCTGCGGCGCTCTCAGTATATCGCGGGCAATAGCCTGCAATATACTGAGCTTTGGGTCACGGGAGGAGGCTAGTATATGTCCTCCCGTGACCCTAAAGAGAACTATGGGGAGAAACACTTACCCCATAGTTCTCTTTTAAGTTCTATTGGCTCACCGAAGTGCGATGTGGTTGTACCGTGTCTCACTGCAGCGTGCTAATGCTGTACTTTGCAAGTGCACACCACTGGTGTGAATTGTCACCACCCATGACCAGGCAAATTGTCTTTTCGCGTGTTCGGGCTGCATGCAGATGGTGTGAACGAGCCCTGAAAGTGGAACTCTAGGCATATTGCTAACTCAAAAACTGTGCCATTTCCAAATTAAACAATTATCCAGTGCCATTAGTTCTGTGTTCATGTAAATGTGGGTGGAAGCATCTGTATGAGCTGGCATTGCAGTCCTCATTTATTCATATTGCTTGTCTTAGTAGACCTTCGAAGAAGGCCCCCTCCATTTGTGGCATGGTTGGTGGATGTATATCATCCTGTGCCCATGTGTACAAATGTAAACTTGACTCTGGTGTGTTATACTTTGGCATTGAAAACCACATACAAATGAGGAACTAAAATGATTCTCTAACCACTCGAGGACCATCTGCACTATATAAACATTCTAGATGGCTTTACCTCACAGGGTAAAGTATATTTTGAGTAAGTGCCAATTTTACATTATTTTTGTAGTGTTTTATCTCTACGCAATAAATTATATCACTTTTAAATTTTCATGCGTGCTCTTTTGCATTTTCAGTAAATGAAAGGGATTTGTAGATTAGTCACCAGATGTAGGGTAGATAAGCTATTGCAGTGAATCACAAAAGCTATTTCAAATGCCGATGAAGTCACTTAAAATGGATGTTTAACCACTTCAAGACCGGGTGTTTAGACCCCCTTCCTGGCCAGGCCATTTTTCAGTATTCAGCGCTGCAGTACTTTGACTGAAGTTTATTCCGTCATGCAACGCTGTACTGAAATGAATTTTATACCATTTTTTGGGGACAGATAGAGCTTTATTTTGGTGGTATTTAATCACCACTGGGGGTTTTATTTTTTACTATAATTAGGAAAAATTAAAGAAAATTTTGAAAAAAAAAAGTATTTTTTTACATTGTTAGGAAAATTTATTATTACCCAGTTTTTTGGTAAAATATAAAAGTCAGGGTCACGTCCGAAAACTACCATACCCAAAATTGGCCATAGGCGACACTTTAAAAGCTTTTACCGCTCATCAGTTTAGTGTTATCAGTGATTGATGGCCCTAGACTTATTGCTCTCACTGCGACGTTCGCGGCCATATGTAAATTCTTTTTTATGTGTTGCTTTACATTTTTTTGGGGGGGGAACTTACATTTTTTTTCCTTTTTTTTGTTTTTTTGTTTTTTTGTTTTTGTTTTTTTGTTTACTAGAACTTTATTGCTATCACATACGAGGCTAATAAAACCCCCCTATGTGATAGCAAAATATGTGACAGGTCCTCTTTATGGACACATCAGGGGTCTCCACGACCCCTAATGTCACCTAGGACCCCCCAAAAGAAGCTGATGAAGCCCAGATCTGCTCCATCAGCTTCTTTCCAGCTTCTGAAGCTGGAGAGTGACACAAGAATGC